GTAACACCCTGGCAAGCTGTGGGGCTGCACAGGAGCTGCTCCTGCCCAGCAAGGCACCGTGTGCCTGGGGCCGTGGGGAGCTCCCAGGGCTGCTCACAGCAGAGAGGCCAGTGGGATTCCGTGGGGCTGGGTCCTGCTGTGGGGCTGGAGGAGCCCTGGCACACGTTGGGCTGGATTTACAGCCACCCCTGCCACCCCCTGCCTGGCTCCATGGGCTTCCCCTGGCTGGGTTCACCCACACAGGGAGAGCTGCTGTGGGCCAGGATGGTGTGGATGGGAATGATGTGGGGCTGTGTGACACAGGATGGTGTGGGGCTGGTGTGGGGATCATGTGGGTCAGGATGCTGTGGATTGGACTCATGTGGGTCAGGATGGTGTAGATTGGGCTGATGTGGGGTGCGCTGATGTGGGGTGCACTGATGCCCTGCAGGCACAGGGTGGTGGGGTCTCCTGCAGCTGCCTGCCTGTGGAACAGCACAGGGGTCCCCTCCTGTCCTCACGGGCCATCCGTTCCTGTCAGGAGCATCCGGGGTGCCTGCCATCCCCAGCGTGGGCAGCACTGCCACGTGTGCCACCTGCTCCCCAGACAGGCCTGGGTCCTGCTCAGTGGCCATGCCAGGGCTGGGGGCTGAGCTCAGCCTCCAGCTGCTCCGGGCGGGATGGTGACACCAATGCAGGGACCAGGGCTGCCCATGCCCAGGGGATGGTGCCAGGATGTGGCTGAGCCATTTTTTGGGTGAATGTGATGTTTTTGGAGGTGTCACCATGGAGTGTCCTATGCCACCACCTTCCCTGTCCATCATCCCCAGGGATGAAGCCCTATTGAGGCTGTTGGTAGACTCTGCCCTCTGGAATATTTCCTCCAGCAGTGGCAATTTTGTTGTGCAAGAAGTGAATAAGGATCAATTAACCCCTGGAGCCGTCCTTGTGCTGCTGGCAGAGCTCTTGTTAGCATCCTTGTGCCTGTCCCTGTCCCTGCTCCTCCTGCCAACGGTGCTGGTAACACCAACGGGCTCCTTGGCTGGATGGCCCAGCAGCCTGGACAGACAGACAGACGGATGGACAGACAGCCCCTGACCTCTAAGAGCAGGGCTGGCAGGTGGTGAGGAGCAGCTGGGGTTGAGGTTTACTTGGAAAACTCGACACCGGGGGCTGTGGGGCCGGGTTAGCACTGAGGGGCTGTGCCATGGGGACAGGGGGACAGAGGGGACGGTCGGGGGGCACAGCAGGGCACAGGGCATCTCCTTGGCTGGATGGCCCAGCAGCCTGGACAGACAGACAGACGGATGGACAGACAGCCCCTGACCTCTAAGAGCAGGGCTGGCAGGTGGTGAGGAGCAGCTGGGGTTGAGGTTTACTTGGAAAACTCGTGGTGCTGGGCAGAGAGGGGTGATAGCTCAGGGGCAGTGCTGGGGACAGCAGAGGGGTGCAGGGGATGTCCCAGGGATGGCGAGGGCCACAGAGCGCCTGGTTTGCTGTCCCACTCTGGCCAGGGCTTGCTCTTGCACTCGTTCCCCCGCACCCTGCTCTCCTCAGGGCACGCAGAGGGGATTCAGCCCCACTCCCGGCACCCCGACACTCGTGGGCACCCCGAGGTGGGGGCGGCACCCTGGCACCTGCGGCTGGGCTGGGGCTGGGCAGCGCTGCCCGGATTGGGCTCGGTGCCCCTGTGGGTGGCTCATTTCGGGGTCCGAGGTTCAGCTCGGGGGTCGATGCTCATTTCGGGAGTCCGGCCTCGGGGAATGGCTCCCGGCTCCCCGCAGCATCGTTATCATCCTCACCATCGCTGCCAGCTGCCCATTGACAGTCAAGGCACTCTCCCAAACAATGGGTCCGGCTAATCCTTTTACAATGGGACTAATTGCTAATCAGACCGATTTCACACTGCCTGTTCCCCTGACAATGAGGCTCGCCGGAGGAGGGCTCCTGGGGGGGTGAGGGGCTCTGTGGGTGCCCACAGCCCCCCCTCCGGCCCCGCAGCAGGAGCAGCCCCCGGCAGACGGGCACCGGCATGGCACTGGGGTCTTCCAGCTTGGCAAAGCCTCCGGCAGCTGGCGGCTGGCACGGGCTCAGCCTCGTCCTGCCCTGGTGCCAGCCAGGGCTGGGCAGGGGGTCCGGTGCACCTGCAGCCCTGGTGCCACCTCCAGCCCCGCCTTGTGCTCCTCAGAGCATCCCCATCCCCTCGGCAGAGCTGCGGGGGCGTGCTGGGGTCCGCGGGGCGGGTGTCACCCCTGTCACAGGCTGGCTGTCACTCCTGTCACGGGCTGGATGTCACCCCCGGCACGGGCTGTGTGTCACCCCCGGCACGGCCTGGCTGTGAGCCCGGACCGATGCCCTTGCCCGGTGCTGTTTGGGGTTTGGGAGCGATGCCCTTGCCCGGTGCTGTTTGGGGTTTGGGAGCGATGCCCTTGCCCGGTGCTGTTTGGGGTTTGGACACCGGGGGCTGTGGGGCCGGGTTAGCACTGAGGGGCTGTGCCATGGGGACAGGGGGACAGAGGGGACGGTCGGGGGGCACAGCAGGGCACAGGGCACGGCCAGCCCTGCAATGGTGCTGTAAGAAGCGGTGCAGGGCAGAGAGTGGTGCCAAAGGCGCCGTGGGGGCCCTGGGGCTGGCACCATCCTCTCCTGACCGCAGGGCACCCTCTGCCAAGGCAGCTGCTGTCCCCTGGGTATCAGGGGGACACTGCCAGGGGGCAGTGGATGCCCGGGGGCTGCCCGGTGGCCGCGGGTCCAGCCTGGCTGCTGTTAATCAGCCCCCGGCCCTGCTCCGTGCGCCCCGAGCCGCGGGCAGCCGAGCGTGTCGGGGTGCTAATGAGGAGACAGCCGGGTGTGCTGCACCTTGCACTTAATTGCTGCTGTCTTGTGGCTCTTAATGAAGCTCGGCTGCAGGAGAAGCGGCAGCCTCTCCTTGTCTCCTCTGCCTCGGGCAGCCTGACCCTGCCAGCCCTGTCCCCTGCCTCGGGGGGTGCGGGGTGCCCTGTGCTCGCTCTGGGGTGGGAGGGGGCCGTAGCAGAGGATGCTGAATGTCACCCCCATCCAGCTGTGACATGCCCAAAGCCCATCCCCTGTCTCCGTGCTGTGCATGGCAGCTCCAGCCCTGCTGCACAGGCTGCAGCATCTCCTGCCTCCTGTGCTGGGCAGGCCTGGCAGTGCTGGCAGCGAGGGACTGTGGCCGTGGCAGGGTCCCCACTCCTGCCAGGGGCCAGCAGTGACTGGGCATCACTCCTGCAAGCCCAGCTTTGGCATCTCCAGCTCCCCACTGTCTGTGGGTGCAGGGCAGCGCTGTGGGGCTGAGCTGGCTGGTGGCCCTGGCCCTGCCAGGCAGTGACAACCACGTGCTGTGCTTGTCCCTGCTGCTTGAACGGTGGCTGGGTCCTGGATGGGAGTTTGGATCATCCTGTGGCTTAAGGAGAGGTGCTGGAAAGGTCAGGGGGACTCTCCCTGCCAGGAAGGCTGGCTAGGGCTTGACGTGCTCTGCTTGAAGCTGGTGAGCATTGGTTGGGCAGCTGTGTCCCAGCCATCCCTGGGGCCCCTCCCCAGCCGTGCAGGAAGGGGTTAATGGCTGGCCCATACCTGCAGTTGCATTTTAAAGATGTGAAATTAAAGCCCGTAATTTATTCTCCCCACACACGAAGGAGCAATTAGTTCTAAACACGGCTTAATCAGTCAGTGCGAGATTGATTTCTGTAGACTTGGATTTGGTGGCTGCTGGCGAGGAGCCAGCCTGGGAGCAATCTCCAAATAAATGAAGTGCAGAGAAGTAAGCCATTACATAATATGATAGATGAGGCTGGAGCTCACTTGCCTCTTCATTAGTATTCCACTGTACACCACAACAGCACCAAACTTTCTCCCCTCCGCCGTGGGTTCCTCCCTCTCCTCGTCCTTCTGCCCCTCCTGCAGCTGGGAATGGGCTGGGGCAGTGCCTCCCCTCTCCAGCAGCCCCTGGCCAGCCCCGAGCCTTTGGGCAGAGCTGGGGAAGGGTGTCTGTGCTGCAGACTCTTCTGTGGGTTCTGCATCTTGCCTTTTTCCTCTGGGGAAAAGGAGGCACAGGGAGCTGGGGTGGCATCCCTTGACATGCATGTCAGCAGGGAGAGGCAGGTGACAGAGAATCCCAGAATGGTTTGGGTTGGGAGGGACCTCAAAGCTCATCTCATCCACCCCTGCAGCAGCTCTGTGGACTCCTCTGGACCAGCTTTAACAGGTCCATGTCCCTGCTGTGCTGGGGATCACAGGGCTGGAGACAGCTCTGCAGACGGGATCTCACAAGAGCGAAGGGGAGGAATCCCCTCCTTGCCCTGCTGGCCTGACAGGCATTTGGGGACAAGGTCTCACATGGTGCAAACAGGTTGTTTTGGGCTGTGGTGGTGCTGATGTGCCCTGCACAGGATGTGTTGATGCTGAGGGTGGAGGGGAGGACATCCCAAGTGATGCCAGGCAGGGGAGGGGGCTTGGAATCCTCTCCAAAGGAATCCCCTCTGCTTGTGGAGCTGGTGGGGAGCGAGCTGGGATCTCCACAGAGGTGCTGGCTGTGCTGGGAGCAGCCTGTGGGATGTGCTGGCTGCGTGGTGGGCTTGGGCTGGGAGGGATGGATGGAGAAGCACTGGGCCTGTGCGTGGTCCTGACCCCATCACTGCATTTGTTGCCTCTTCACCTTGTCCCTCCACAGGCTGCTGCCAGGGAAGGAAGGTTCCCTGGGAGCTGGCCTGGCTGCTGCGGGTCCCTGGGATGTGCTAAAGAGACCCCCTGTCCCTGCCAGGACAGGAATTGTGCCACAGACAGAGCTGGAGGCGCAGCAAAGGGCTGTGACCCACGGGATGTGGGAGGGACCTGCCAGCCGAGCTCTCCCAGCCCCAAACTCTTGGTTCTGGGGGATGGAGCCCAGGTGCCCCACGGTGCCCCACGGTGCCCCACGTACCCCCCAGCCCCGTGGGCCTCCCTTTCCTTCGGGGGTGCTGTCCCTGCTGCTGACCCTGCCCCTGTCCTTGCTGTCCCTGCAGAACTCCATCCGGCACAACCTGTCCCTGCACACCCGCTTCATCCGCGTGCAGAACGAGGGCACCGGCAAGAGCTCCTGGTGGATGCTGAACCCCGAGGGCGGCAAGACGGGCAAGACGCCGCGGCGGCGTGCGGTCTCCATGGACAACAACAGCAAGTTCCTGCGCATCAAGGGCAAGGCCAGCAAGAAGAAGCAGCTGCAGGTGACGCAGGAGCGCGGGGAGGACAGCCCGTCCTCCCAGCAAGCCAAGTGGTCGGAGAGCCCCGCGTCCCACGCCAGCGATGAGTACGACGCCTGGGCGGACTTCCGGACGCGGGCCAACTCCACGGCCAGCACGCTGAGCGGGCGCCTCTCGCCCATCATGGCCAACCACGAGCCGGACGAGCTGGAGGAGGACGATGGTACTCCCTCGTCCCCGCTGATGTACCCCAGCCCTTCCAGCACCATGTCTCCTTCCCTCAGCGCCCGCTGCTCCGTGGAGCTGCCCCGGCTGACCGACCTGACCGGCACCATCAGCCTGAACGAGAGCCTGGGGGAGAGCATGCTGGAGGACCTGCAGGATGGCTACAGCATGAGCCCCTCCCAGCAGCTCCCCCCGGCCGCCCTGCGGCAGAGGAGCTCTAATTTCACCTTCAACTCCAAGTGCTCCAGCATGGGGGCCGCCTCCAACACCTACTGTGGGACCATCTACAGCCAGCCGGCCATGAGCCTCATGCGCCGCCTGCCCATGCAGACCATCCAGGAGAACAAGCAGGCCACCTTCTCGCCCGTCAGCTCCTACAGGAACGCCTCGCTGCAGGACCTGCTCTCCTCCATCTCCTACGCGCACAAGGAGAGCATGGTCCCGGGGGACCTGCCCCTGCCGCAGGCCAGCCCCATGGTGCCGGCCCGTGGCCACAGACACAACCCGCTGCTGTGCGGGGGCGGGGAGCAGGGCTTGTCCTCCTACCCGCCCCACCCGGGCTCTCTCATGAAGAGCAACGCGTTGTACCACCCGTCACCAGCCGGTCACCACCCTGCGGTCAACACCAGTGCCTTAGCCAATCCTGTCAGCCTTATGAGCCTGCCCAGTGACTCGTGCAGCATGACGGCCGTGCCGCACCACGGGCACCTGCATTCCTACGCTAATAACCAAGGGGCACACATGAGCTTGCTGGATTCGCTGCAGGGCCCCTACCCGGGGGCCGTCCACCCCCCCATGTTGGGCCAAGACAGGTTCCCAGCAGACCTGGACCTGGACATGTTCAACGGGAGCCTGGAGTGTGACGTGGAGTCGATCATCCTGAATGACTTTATGGACAGCGACGAGATGGACTTCAACTTCGACTCGGCGCTCCCGCCGCAGAACGGGCTCAACGTGCCCGCGCTGCCCGGGGCGCCGCAGCCCACGAACCAGAGCTGGGTGCCCGGGTGACGCCTGCCCCGGCGCGGGCTCGCCAGCGGGAAGCCACGAGGGGAACATTGAGACTAACTTTTTTTTTTCCTTTCTCTTCTGCCTTTGTTTGTTAAGATAGGCGAGAGCCATCAGTCTGAGCTTAAGGTCGAACACGAAACACAAACCGGAGGGTCAAATATTGAGATGGGGGAGGACCCCCAGCCCCACGTGTGCCCGGTCTGCAGGTCCTGCCAGCATCCTCTGGAGGACACAGGGCAGGTGGTTGGGAGAGGCAGCCGGAGCCAGGCAGATCCAGGGGGGTAGCAGGAAGAGAAAGCCTTTCCAGACGGTCCCAGTGCACCAGGGTAATGGTGCCAGTTTGATTTGCCCTTGGGCTGGGGGACAGAGGGGTGATGGCTGGTGGTGTGGGACCCCCCCAGCACGGGCATCCCCCCCGGGAAAGAACTCTTCTCTGAGCCACCTTAGGAAATGAGTCCTCTGGGCAGAAGTGTCAGGAGTGGGGACGCTGCCCCCGGGCAATGGGGGGCTCATGGCCCCTCAGTCCTGGTGGAGATCGGAGCTCTGCTGAGCCCACACCCCCAGGCCACCTCTGCTGCGGTGTCCTCGTGGCTCCAGGCAGGTTCCCTTACCAAGCAGTGAGGAGGGGGTGGTGATGGTGTGCAGCCAGCAGCCTGGGAGCAGCATCTCGGCAGCCCCCAGGGCCTGAGGGTGCAGGGGAAGGCTGCAGCCCCTGCCCAGAGCAGGCTGGGCACACTCCAGGGGGGTCCTGCTGGCACTGAGGGTCCCCTGAGCTGGAGGCTCAGGGGCAGCTCGCAGGGGCGGGGAGGGGGGCGTATTTATTTGATTTCATGCACTCTTTTGCCATTGAGTTTTTGCATTGGAAGGAAGAAAGGGTCGAGCTTAGGGAGAGGAGAGAGAGGCCATGGGCAGTGCTGGTGGCTGTGTCCCATCACACGGCACATCTTGGCTTGGCCGTGGGGGGTGTTGGATGTTGGGGTGAAAGCTGGGGGCTGTGATGTGGGCCATCCTCCAGGAGGGGCTTTGTGTGTGTGAGGAGGGGAGGGGTGTGGTGGCCAGGCCTCTGGATGCAGCGTGGGGTCCATCCTGCTCCATGCCTGGGTGACCCACATTGCTCAGGGAGGTGCCACAGGGGCCCCAGCCAGGGCTGTGGGGCTCCTGGGGGGTCAGTGCCACCATGCCTGTCCCAGTGTCTCACTGCCCACACCTGGGGTGCCAGGAGAGCTGATCCAGGAGCTGTCAGCAAGAGGAGTGCACCCACCTGCCAGGGGCAGGGGCTCCATGGGGGATGGGACCACAATTCACACGTGGTCCTGCTGTGTGTCAGGACCCCAAACTGACCCCACTGCTCTGTGGGGCAGGAGAGGGCCAGGGATGTCCCAGCCACTCCACACAGCTGCCAGGAGCAGCAGGGTTTGGAGGGGTTCAGGCTGGTGGCCAGCAGGAGCAACTGGTCTGGAGATGATGGAAGGGCTGGCACGAGGTGCTGGGGGCTGCTGCTCTGTCCTGTGGGGTCTCTGCTCAGCCATTCTTCCCCCTGGGCACCACAGGCTCTCTGTGACCCCCAGCCCTGGCTTGCAGGGGGGTCAGTGCACTGAACCAGCACATATTCCCAGCCCAGCTCTTCCATTCCTGACCCAGCACTGGCTCCTCTGCCACGGAGCAGGAGCTGGGTCCCAGCCAGCCATGGGGACAGCGTGGCTGCCCTGAGTCAGGGCAGGGGGACCCACAGGTGGCACCTCCTGCTCCTCTCCTGACCCACATGGCTGTGACAAAGAGCCCCATGTGCTCACCTTCACCTGGGGCACACGGCAGGCACGGTCTCTAAAGACATTCTTACAAGTTAATTAATTATGTTTACATTATTTGATCATGTACAGAATTTAATATATTCTATTATATATAATCTTTCTTGAATGCTTTTTTAAAAAGGATTATTCTTTGGTCAGGATCATTACCACATTCCTTTTATACACCACCTCTCGTTTCAGGCATCTCCCAAATCCTTGGGAACCGATTGCAAATGGCTATTTAATCCCCGACCCCCCCAGTTCAGCACGTGGGTGTGAGGGACCCAGAGGCAGGAGGAGAGGGCAGCTCTGGCTGCCCTGGAGCAAACGGGGACCTCTGCCCCCCCGGAATGGGAGAAAGGGAAGGGCTCCTGGCTCCTCCAGGCACCTGACCTCCAGGCACAGACCCAGCAGCACACCAGCATGCCGGGCAGCACTCGGGCAGTTGGAGATGGGATTCTCCCACGCTGGGGTCCCTGAGCCCCCTTTGGTGTCACAGACACTGGCAGGCCATCAGCGTGGCAGGGGAGCCACCTCACAGCAGGAGGGAAGTGTCCCCGTGTCCCAGCAGCAGGAGGGAGAAGTGTCCCCGTGTCCAGCAGCAGGAGAGGTGTCCCCGTGTCCCAGCAGCAGGAGGGAAGTGTCCCCGTGTCCCAGCAGCAGGAGAGGTGTCCCCGTGTCCCAGCAGCAGGAGGGAGGTGTCCCCGTGTCCCAGCAGCAGGAGAGAAGTGTCCCCGTGTCCCAGCAGCAGGAGGGAGGTGTCCCCGTGTGCCGTGCCCGCCCTGCCGCCCCGTGCCCCTGCCCCGCTGCGTGGGCACGGCCCCTGGCCAAGCTGTCGTCGTGGTTCGTGACCGTGGGGTTGTCGTGTGTGCGGTGCAGTCGTGTTGGTAACGTCGTGTGTTCAGTCGTCCTGCGGGGCGAGGGGCGGCGGGGCGGGCACGGACACCCCCAGGCAGGCTGGGAGCCCGGGGGACGCGGTGGCTGCAGGGGTGGGTGGCACAGCTGGCCCTGCCAGGGGACCAAAGGACCAGGGCAGGTGGGGCCGTGGTGTCCAGGAGGGTGGTGTGAGGGACTGGGGGTGTTGGGGCAGTGCCTGTGGGGCTGGCATGTCCGGGGGTGGCTGGCATGGCTGTGCCCCCCTGTGACTGTGAGTGTGGGGAAGAGGACACCAGGGCTTTGTGTCACTGGCTGAGGCTCCGGGTTCCCTCTCTGCAGTCACCAGACCACCTCACGCCCCCCCTCACTGAGCTTCATCCTCCCCTCTCCATCAGCCCAATCCCCCCAGCCCCAGTGCCCCTCTGGGGCCAGGAGCTCCCTCCCTGCTCCCACCCTGCCCTGCCTGGAGCCGGCGTGGGGGGACACCCAGGACCCCCCGGTTTGCTTCCCCCGGCGGTTTTGGGTCCGTTTCCCTCGTATTTATAACTGTACAGACGGGGGGGGGAGGGTCTCATCTCTCACAGCATCTATCGTAGGCAATGGTAACTTTCTTGGTTGTGCTATTAGAGTTTGTGTATGTGGCAATGTAAAGAACTGTGTATAGTGCATTGTACAGCATATTTTCATGAATAAAATTGTTTTAAATATTACAAGGCGGGGCTGCTGCTGCCGTCAGTGCTTGTGTGTCTGGGCTGAGAGGGGGGATGGTGCCCCCAGGGAAGCTGAGGAAGGGGGGATGGTGCCCCCAGGGAAGATGGGGAAAATGGGAGAGTTACCAAGGGGGAGATGGGAGTTTGGTGAAACTGAGCTTGCACCCAGAGCATGGGCCTGGTTGGGCTGTGGAGGTCACAGAACCATAGAATCATCATAGAAAAGGAGACTCAGGGGTGCCCTCATCACTCTGCACAGCTCCTGAAAGGTGCCTGTGCTCAGCTGGGCACCCAGCTGAGTTCTGCCCAGGGAGGTGGTGCAGTCACCACCCCTGGGTGTGTTTAACAAAGCCTGGATGTGGCACTGGGTGCCAGGGTTGAGTTGAGGTGTTGGGGCTGGGTTGGACTTGATGGTCTTGAAGGTCTCTTCAAACCCAGTGACTCTCTGAATTCAGGGCAGAACATTCCAGAACTTTATCACTCTTTCTGTGAAAAACTTTCTCCTAATATCCAACCTGTATTTCCCTTGGTGCAGCTCAAGGCTGTGTGCTCTGGTTCTGTCAGTGCCGCTTCTCCTGGTTCTCCTCCCTGCTCTGCAGCCCCCCCGTGCCGAGCATCCCCAGGCAGCTCCAAGCACAGCCCCATTTCTGCATCCACGGCTGTCCCCAGTGCAGGGGCTCAGCAGAGCCGAGTGCTGACAGCCTGTGCCCGCTCTGCACGCACTGACCTTCTCCCAGTGCCATCTCTGAATGCCACCACGTCACCACAGCCCTCGTGCGAGCCCGGCTGGCAGCCTGCTGCGAGGGTGGGATCTGATTTGTGCCAACAGGTTGGGCAGGAGAGGTCAGAGGCTGGTCTGGTCTGAGCTGTGGTGGGAGTGCTGCCTGGCTCAGGGACACCACGCCACAGAGGGGCTGCAGTGAGGCTTGGAGCAATCTGGTTCAGTGGAAGGTGTCCCTGCCTGGTGTCTCTAGGGCCCTTCCAACCCAAACCATTCTGTGATGCTCTGATTTGCATCCCAGCAGTAGCTCAGCCATGGTACGTGGATACCCAGGATACACCCAGCCTGTCATGCAGATCTGGGGATCCTGGCAGCTGGGGAAGCCCTGCTGTCCTGCCCTTTGGAAATGCCCTCCAGGCACGATCCCACAGCCACCCTGCAAACAGCCAAGCCAGCAGGCAGGCACAGCCCCAGCAGGGCTGGTTTTGTGTGGCTGCAAGGATGGCCTGCTCTGCACATGTCCCCCCAGCGAGTCCTGCTCCGGGCTTTGGCAGGAAATGGGGGAGCAGCTGCAAGGTCCTGAGGCAGGAACAGCTGCACACAAGGTGCTGGCAGTGCCCCATGGCCACAGAGGTGCTGGTGGCTGCCACTCTGCCAGCTCTGCTGATGTCCCACTCTGCCAGGATGTGCTGGGAGGTGCTCAGGGCATGGATACCAGCTGGAGGTGGCAGAGCTAGGCAGGGACCTGGGCTCCAGGTGAGCTCAGGTGCTCGAGAGGAAACTCTGGGGGTGCAGAAAGAGGCTGAGACACCAGGAGCTGATCCAGTTTTGTCTGGGCTACACAGAATTGCCCTGACTGCCCAGTGAGCCCTTCAAGAGGTTTCACAAAGGCCATGAGGGACT